ATATATATATATTCAAATTTCCACCTACACAGCTCAAAATGATCCAGGAGAGCTTTGAACCAACAGATCACCAACCAATCAACAGAAAACATTTACTCTGTGATTAGTGAAAGAAATAATTCAGAATGTGTTTCAAGCTCAGATGGATAAATAGTCCTTCGAGAAACATTGTGCTTGCTAAGATTTCTAGCAATACACTCCAGATCAAGTTATGCTTATAAACAAACGTGCTGTTTTAATTATCAGGGCCTATTATCTTACACATTCCTGAAACTGAACTCACTACTAAGATACCGTATGCTCAAGTTCAGTTTGTGTCAAGGCCTGCCTGCTGGCAGGTTTGTGTCTTGAGGTTGGCCTCAAAAATCCCTTGAAACTTCGTAGGTTAATCATTTTGGAATTAGGGGTGTGTCCACAAGCAAATGGGCTTCTTTCCCCAGCTTTTTTTTCCCTCAAACTTTTTACTGCCATGATTTCCTGGTTAATCATGTATGAGATTTTCCAGAAGCAATCTGATATGCTGATATCTAAAATGCTTCCTCCCTAGAAGAGGAATCAACATTGATGAACTTTATGTGAATACCTCAGTTGCTTGGTATGATCTTGTCTCTGACCCATTTACTGGCGTTAGAACAACAAAGGAGATCTTAAAATAGGATGTTTCATTCTAAGACATTAGTCTACTGCACCTAGATAGCCCTGTGGAGAGTTTTTCCATAAAATAATTTACAGTCCCCACTTTGAAGTCTTCTTAGGAAAATTGCACCCATTCATACCTCAGTTGAATTTGATGCTTTACAGTACTCTTTTGTGTCTTGACCTTGACATGCTGTGTATTTTTAAAATTTACAATCACAAACATATACTACAAAAATAATGGAGATGAGTTCAAGTCCTGAAAATAAAAGTTTGATAGATGTGAGTCTTGTCTATCCTTCTTCCACATAGCTTGTCCATGGGACTCATTCTCCAGACACTAAAGTGTCTGAGAACAAATTGAGGCAAAGTGCTAGCCAGATTGTTTATATCTTCAGCCAATTCTTAGAAATACTCACCATTTGCAAAGGAGAGAAGTGGAAAAAGATGTGTTCTCCTTGTATTCTATACCCTGTGCTTTTGGCAATTTATCCCTCAAGATGATGATATTCTCCTTTAGCTGGCTTCTATTCATGGGAGATTCCCTGTGGTAGTGAGTAATTATAGCAGGTGGAACCCTTGAGTTTAAGAACAACTTTGTTAATCTTGATTTTAGTATCAGCTATCTTTAGGAGGTCAGAAGAATAGGCTCACTCTTCTTTATTTGGTAGTACCTGTACTGGTACAATCGCTGTTTGATGAGGAGAATGAAGAGATTCAGAATAAAAGCATATAATTCCTGACAAACATCAGGAAAAGCTGAAATACTTCACAGAGACTCTTACAATGAGGTCTACAAGTTCTTAGGCTTTGGGTACAATTGTGTTTCTTCTTAAAAACCTAGTTTAGCTGTGCTTTACTCTGCTAAAATGCTTAAGTAGTTTCTCAGTGCAGACATACTATGCTACTACCCAGAACAAATGGCCCTGAATGTTTAAACAAGGTTGGCAGCATGCAGGACAGGTTTATGTAGTGGATTAGTGGAGTATAAGCAACTCTGATACACACGTATCCCACAACAGCCATTCCAAAATATGTCTTCCAGTGTCATTCTCCATACTGCAGACAAATGGATGCAAGTACTTTGTATTAGAACATATGTTCCATACACTGGGGGTGCGGGTATAAAAGAGAAGATCTTTGACAGAAAGGGATCGATTAGCAGGAAAGGAAAAAGCATACTTAGAGGTGGAAATACTAATGGGCACATTCTCTCTGCAGGGTCTAAACAGTCAAGGGTAGAGAACCCCAGCCTGATGTGGGGGTACCCAGAGAGACAGGCCTGGAGAGATCTCAAGCACTCCACTAGAAAACAGATTTCGTTCCCCTCAATTTTTCTTGAAAAATGGCTTTTGCTCTTGTTTTTTCTTATTCATGAAGACCTGAGGGTTAAAAAGACAAGACAGGAAAAGTTTCACTTAGCAAAGTGACCAGTTGCTACCTTCTTTTGCTGTCTTCCTTCCATTCTATTTTTGTTTCTTTCTCTTTTTTCTGGGTGCTTCCTTTTCCACCTCCCCTTCCTCTCTTTCACTGCATAGTGATCACCTTTGCCTTACTCTCTGACTTTTCTTCCACTGCTCCTGTTCTCACTTTTCCTTTTCATCCCTCTCTTCCTCTCCCTCCCTGCCTCTCTACCTCCCTCTCCCTCCCCCCACTCCTGCACACACACACAAAGGTATAGACCTATGTCACCCAAGTGTGCATACCTCAATCTGTGTCTGACCTTCCAAAAAATAGGACTCAGTCATTTGGAGGATAGCTAGTGGTAATCTTGACTATGACTTCACCCCCACAAGCACTCTTGAGTTAATCTGTGGGTGGAGCAGTTCCTTAATAACTAGCTGCCCTTTCCTCTCCCATGAAACTCAAGAAAAGAAATGAAGGAGTGTTCCAGATGTCATGCAGGGCTGTAGCAGAGCTGTCAAGCTTCCTATCTCTGTCACAGGTCCCAGTCTTAAAGCCAAAAAAATGGAAATGTGAAATATTAGAATGTGGGGCCAAGTCTAGCATGTCCCAGCCACACACGTTGGAGCAAAATAGCTGGGGTGTGGTTACTGCCTCATCAGAGGCAGGTGAGAACATGATGGTGGACCTTTAGCATGACTTTGACCATGAACTTGGTTTCTTGCTTTGTGTGTGCAGTTGAGGGTGAAGCATTTATCCCTAGCCATTTCTTTTTTTTTTAAATTGAGCTTATTGGTACCTTTTGGATATACAGTACAGTTACATTCATCATTGGGATCTTGTACCTTTATATGACAGATCTTGGTTCTCATTTTCCCCCATACCCCTGCCCTCCCTTCACCTCTCCACACTTCCCTACTTACATTTCAGTGAAATTGTCACCAAAGGATAGTGTTTGCTCCTCTACTTTGCCTCTGCCATCTGTCAAACCAGATGATGGGATCCTCATGACTTCCTTTGCTTTCTTCTTCCAGAGCATGCAAAACACTTTAATAGACCCACCCATTTCCTCCCTTCCTTCCTTTTCTTTGCAAATCATCCAAATGGCAGCCTGTTGGTTTTCTTGGCTCCTGACCACATAGATTGGAGGGACAGTTTTCCTGCTCCTCCTCTTGTTTCCCCCACCCCTTTCTCTCACCCAGAAGTTCTGCCCAAGGGCCCAGCCTGCAGCAAGAGAGTCACCCTCAAAACCTGAATCCAAGATGTTGAAGAGAGAGATGGGGAGATGTTCAGGTAATATCATCATTATATTTATCAAGAAATATCGTTGTTTCTTCTCCCTTTTACCTCTTTGGGAACCGTAAAGAAAAATTTCAATTTCTACAGCATCTCCTGGTGTGAGACATGGCAACACGAGTACCACAGCATATTTACCCTAACAGTCCTGGATTTATGTATTTTGATTTTACAAAGAACTTCCTGGCTGTTCTTGATAGAACCATTGAAAGACACTGTTAATGGAGATTTTTGTTTCTTCCTTGGAGCAGGTCAGGAAAACTGTAGCTTCCTTCCTGGGTTCCATGTTACAGAACTGCTTTTTCTGGAAGTGGCAAAGTGAACTCTTTCTCTGAATATGATTGCCTGACTTATTGCCTGCCGTGTTCTCTCTGGCCTTGGTACAGGCCACAGGGCAGGACAGAAATGCTACAGCACACAAGTCCATCTCTGAAAATGTACCCTAAAGATCCTCTCCTCCTCTGTGCAATAAGAAAGTCTGAGTTGGCAGCAAACCTTAGCACCCTCTTCTTACTGACACAAGAGAGCTGGAAATGTCCTGTCACTTGAACTTCTAGCTCTAGGCTGCTTTTCCTATCTTCTGAGTTTGGTGATTTGGTCTGATTTTCTGTGGTCTGATCTGGTTCTCTTGCTTCTTTTCAGGAGTCTGGGAAAACCTCAGTAAAAGGCAGCAGGCCTAGGACCTAGGTGCTAAAGACTTGCCCTGTGAAGCAGGAGGGTGAACTGCGACAAACTGTGGGGAGTTGACATTGATCAAATCTCAATGCTTTATGCAGCTACCCTCATACACCACAGGTGACATGAGGTGAAATGAGTAGCTTGGTGGGCCTCTGTGTGGGTGCATTTCTGGGGGAAGGTTTATTAACTTGGCAAAAAGAGCTCTCAAACTGAGAATAGGCTCTGTTAGAGGTTGAAGAGGACTCTGACAGTCATCAGGGTTCTTAGCTTTACATTCCTGCACAAAGTGGAAATGCATTTATAAGAGTCAGCCATGTAAGGGAAGAATTTTTATTATATATATGCAGATATGGATTTTTTTCCCTCTTGGAATCCTGGCAGATCATTTTATGAGCTCTGTGACTAGTATTAGATTTGGTGCTGCAGGATGATGATGATAATGATGATGATGGCATATAGGCATACACACACATACAATCTATATACCCAGACTCAACTTCAGTGTGTGCTTTTCCTACTTCAGCCTCCTAATATGCTGAGATTGCAGTTGTGTGTAATCCCAGCTCTGTTTTCTGATGTGGTATGCACTATTCCAATGATCTGTGTGTATCAGCTCATTTACTGAACATGCCTGGGAAAGCCTGCAGGGAATCATGCCCATTCGGGAACACACAAATTAGGCATTTTTGGTGTGAATAGTGTTCCCTTGCCATTACTACGTGAAGACTACTCTCAGATTATTTCTCTACATGGAGTCTAGGGCTCTTGATATCTTTAAAGGGGTAAAAGTCAAGGCATATCAAGGGTAGAAAGACCTTAACCCAATGATTTTCACCTTTGCGAGTACTCTCTAGAAATAATAGGATTCCCAC